TATATATATATAATTAGGAAAAATAATCTTGACATGTTTCACTATTAAATTAAATTTTTTTTTCCATTTAAATATTTAAAATCTTTTACCTCCTTAACAGTTATTGTGTCGATGCACCATGAAAATGAATTCTTGTTGTTTTCTGTTGGATAGTATCGAAAATGCAAATGAAATGTTGTATGAGAATGATAAATTATTATAGTCGAGAATTATTCATTTATAATCAACTATTGAATGAGAATCAATAATTGTAGACGCAGTAGAGGTTTATTAACAGAACCAGCATTATAGCCGCCAGCCTTCTGATGTAAATCAGATCTAAACAGTGATACTGTAGTGTGGGGTAATTGCCAGTATTGTCTTTGGATTGTGATTAAGGATGAATCCCAGACTTTAGCTAAAGCCCGATAATATAGCTTCAGTGCGACATTAATGAAAAATTCAAACCGAATCAATCTTACATATTGAAAAATAATTTTGTGATACCAAATAGTTTTATAATGCAAATTAGTATTAAAATATAGTGTAAAAATACTTATTAGTATTATTTGTAAGATATATTAATATTATGTCCTAATTGATGTTTCGAAATAAGCTATAATAGTTTTGCTGATGTTGCCGAATGATTTATAATTACGTGATTAATACTCGGGTAAATAGACCTTAAATTTAGATATAATTTTATGTAGACATAAAAAAAATACTACGCTACCTGATTTAATGTTTGTTAAATATTTTTAAAATATTTTTAGAAACATTTTATTAAATTTTTTAAAAAGTTAAATCATTTATAAATTTTAGGTGCTATCTTTACTGCTATTCCTAAATAGTAGCAGTAGCACTTTATTTACGTCGCACTAGAATTGCACGAAAGGCTATTGACAACGATGTGTGAAACATCCCTGAAGATGATCCTAAGACATGTCATCGCAATTTTGATCCCTTGGGAACCTCGTCTTACTATCTGTCCACTATGGGGCAATTTTTTAACCGTTATCATACTGGAGTTTAGTTTCACCGAATTTCTTCATTATATATTACTTTAAATGTATTTCAAAGCACGCTTTAAAGGCATTTAAAATATTAGGCATTAAACATTAATTTGCTTTCATTATGATATTGAGTAGGCTTAATAATGTAAAAATTTAAAAAAAACTTTATTTAGTATTACCAATAAATTTACTTAGAAATTTTTTATTTGAGAAAGCAAAGTTCTTTTCTTTTTTTAAATTTTACAAATTTTATTCCTTTTAATATGGAAACCATGGAGGCTTGTCTTTATCCAAATTCCAAATATTAACCAAATGTTTTAGCATGTAGTCTAGTAATGCTCTTGCAATGATGTTTCTAATTGTAATAAAAAGCACTCAGCTTCAGGTATTAGAGTAGCTAATAAACCGATCCTGGTTAGCTCCTTTCTTGGCTTACACAAATTTTATTTTGAAATAACTTGCTAAAAAGTATGCCATTAGTCTGTCAGCATAACATGAAATCATCAGCCTGAATCAATTGAGTATTATTTTGGTATTTGAAATGATATTTTTAATAGTGTTAGATATAGTTGGAGTGGCTCCTAAGACGATCTTTTAATTAAAAAAAGTTAAACCAAATTATTACCGACTTAATTTTTTATACTCCCATAATTCCCAATTAATATTTTAAAAGCACTTATGCTTTTTTAATATTATAATTTTAATAGTCATCGCTTAATTGATTGTAGTATATTTCTATTTGACTTCGAATGTGCCTTAAAACAGCTTGCATTAAATCCATATTATAGCATAGCATGAAACCACCTGTCGGTAAAATAACGATGAAATAGCCTGTTGATGGAGTGATAATCTTCGAAACGAAAGGCTCTTCACGAGGTGTCTGGTGTCCATGACTTTCATGCAAGCTGTTTTGATCAAATCAGATTAAGTTAAACAGGGATTTAACCACAGTTGCTTCTGTATTACTTCATTCTTCTTTGTATTCGTGAAAAACAACGAGTAAATTGCAAGCTATATTTAACACTTGATTTTGTAGCTAACGCGATCTTAAAACATATTGTAAGGCACGATCCAATCAAATTTTCATGCGTTTTGCCTTGTAATTTCTATGATATTTCCGCAGCATTTAGTATTTAGGATAATAGGTTCTTGATATTATAATAATGATCCATAAGACAATACTGTTTAACTAACACAAATATGCCTTAAAACAGCTTACATCAAAAGCATATCATGGATCAATTAGCATATCATGATTTCATCTGTAGATGGGGCGAAGAGAAATTATCTGTTGATGGAGCGATTGTCTTTGAAATGAACTACAATCTACAAGGCGTCTAGTATCCATGGCATGCGGACTGCTTTGATTAAATCAAAGTCAATTAACAGGGACTAATGGCTTCTGAGTCAACTGAGATATCTTTGTATTCTTGAAAAAGAGGAAGCAAAACAAAATCGTAAAAACTTTCTGTTACTTCAGAAGTAGACAATTGTTT